TGAGTAAAATCTCTAGCTTTTAGAACCAGAATTCTAAATCTTGAGTAAAATGCGTCTCAGCCCTGGAAAAGGAACAATTTTGTATGAAAGGATATTCAAATAAACCTTCATTGAGCAACCACAATGAGCCTTGAAGATTTACATGATTGAGCTGGAATTCAAAGCCAAAGACAAGAGAGAAACATTTTTTTTTCCTAGGATGCACAAAGAGATATCCAAAATTAAACATCACACTTCCCAAGGGCAGCATGTTTTCTGATATTGACAAGTAAAATGAGGTATTTCAAATCAGGCATTGCTGGCTTACAGTCATCTTTTGCATAGCTATTGTCTTAACGTATTTCTGGCTATTAGGCATTTGTCTATTTTTGGTCAGCGAGGCATGCTAAAGAATTCTGGCTTTGCATAAAAAGCTGTAGTAATGCTAGTGGAATTACATTTCTGCAACAATATCTTAAGTATAATTATGGACATTTTGGCTAGTCATACACACATTTTATATTCAAAGAAGAGTAGCTATAACTTTAGTGTAATCGGTACAATTAAAATAACTACAAGTAGGAAAAAAAAAACTTTCAAAAGTACCTATTTAGGCTCAACTAAATACTTTCCTTTGCCTTATTTGTCACAGCTAGTTAAACATATTGCACATTAATCCTATGATATGTTGGGGAAATGCCAAATAAACCATATCTGCTTAACATTCCATCCAAAAAAATCAGAGACTAATAATAGATTATGTATTCAATAACTATTTTGTTCTAGGTCAAAAAATGCCACATTACCTTAGCCTGATCTCACCATAACTACTAACTACCAAAAAGTAGCAATATTTAGAAATTATACCTTCTATAATTTTCCTCTACTTTCCTACCGAGACCCTAATCAAATTAAATCTTTTTAAAATTTTGTTTTTAACTCGTAAAGAATATGTTAAACTTAGATCAAATACCTCCAAATTTAATATGCTTTATTTTCAAAAGTGACCATTTTATTTAAAAAGACATTTTACCTCCTGCTTTCCATTCTGAACATTATTCATGAAAATTAATTTTGCTATATCATCTCCAGGCATATTTACAATTTTATTTTTAAAGTTATTTACTACTGTCACAAAAACACATAAAATTATTTGGATATTATTGAAACTTAATAAAAGATCTCACCTATCTATACACCCATATAAAACACACGTCCCATAAAAATGCAAAGGATCTGGTGGAAGACCTGAGCTATGGAAGTCATCTATGGGCTCTGCTCAAGCTCAGAAGCCTCTTTGGACCATTAAACCAATAATACAGGGTTGGCAGTGAGGGGAAGGCTAGGTGCAATTTACGCTAATCAAAATAAATTCTAATTCAAGTACAAATTGACTTTTTACAGCTTTCAAAGTTACCATAGGAAATGTCTTGAAGCCCAGGTTTCTTAAATGATTTGTAACAATTTTATTCTTAGTTCACTTGTCTTACTAGCTAAAATCTGAGGCAATATGAAGCCTGCATTTTATATGGTCTTTCAGAATGTGATCACACTTACGAATGATTTTTAATGATTTTCCATATGTAAAGCCCCCACACTGACAAATGATAGTTCCTTAACTCAGCCAAGTCTCCTCAAATCATCTCAATCTACATATCCCAGATTAATTACATTTCAGAACTGTTTTCTGTCCCCCACAGGAAGTGTGTGTGTGTGTGTGTGTATGTGTATATATATGTGTGTATGTATGTATATATATATATATGTGTGTGTGTATGTATACATATATATATATATAAAAGCACTGGACTAAGGAAATTGTCTGCTTCAGTTGCCATGATTATAATTTGGAAAACCTAATTTTATTGTGTGTTTTCTATGTGCTAATGGCTTTACATAAATCACTTTCTCCTTTAATTATCAGGGTTACCCAACATCTTATCAAGCAGGTAACCTTATCATCATCATTTCACATATAAGAAAATTAAGCTTAGGGAGGTTAAACAACTTGGCTGAGGCACACAACAAATAAGAGAAGGATACTGGATCTACAAGCTGGTCAATATGACTCACAACCTGAACTATTATCCCCCCACATCTGGCTCCTTCTTGTTGCCAATGCCAACCTGTACCTTGAACATCTTATGCTCCCTACCATACAAAAGTCTTTAGGCCGGCATGGTGGCTCACGCCTGTAATCCCAGCACTTTGGGAGTCCAAGGCAGGTGGATCTTGAGGTCAAGAGACTGAGACTATCCTGGCCAACATGGAGAAACCCCGTCTCTACTAAAAATACAAAAAAATTAGCTGGGTGTGATGGTGCACACCTGTAGTCCCAGCTACTTGGGACCCTAAAGCAGGAGAATTGCTTGAAACCAGGAAGTGGAGGTTGCAGTGAGCTGAGATCACGCCACTGCACTCCAGCATGGTGACAGAGTGAGAATCTGTATATATAAAAAAAAAATAAAAATCTTTAACCATAGAACAATCTTCCTGAACCCACTACTGGGCTCTACAGTTTGTTCTCCATACTGACCTCAGAGTGATCTCTTTAAAATTAAAGGTTGGCTGGAGGGAGTCACTCCTCTGCCTAAAACTCTCAATGCCTCTCCCTTGTCTTAGGATAAAGGCCCCAAACTTACAATATCCTGAACAGTCTGACTCTGGTCTCCTATCTAGCCATATCCCCGTCCCTCTTGATTCCAGGTCCACCCATTCCAAGGTTTTCTTTCAATTCCTAGAACATAGCCAGCCTCTTCCCCTGGAGCCTTTGCACCTGCTGTTCCTTTCTTTGGGTATGCTGTGCCCCACTATCTACAGACCTTTAGTTGAGAATATACACTTCCTTCATAGCTCCACTCAAATATCATGTCCTCAGGAACATCTTTCAAAATTACACTGCATTTTACTCAAGACTGGATCTAGTTTCTCTGTCATACCCTTTCTCAGCACTCAGTGTACCACCTTACCAGCCCCTAGCAAGGTTTGGTATGACGTATGTATATGATCATTTAATAAATACCTGTCTTTCTACTAGACCAGAATTCCTCACACTTCCACATGCATCAACAACACCTGGAGTGTTTGTTTCATAAATGACCACAGGATCCCACCCCTAGAGTTTCTGATGCATGGTGCCTGAAGTGAGGTCTAGAACCCAGCAGTTACTGCTTCCCAGGTAATGCTGATAGCTGGGCAGGGCACTAATCCAGTACAGTGGTTCTCAATCCCAGATTAACATTAGATTCACCTGATAACTTTAAAAATTACCAATGCCAGGGCCCTCACCCCTAGACGTTTTGATTATATTGGGCTAGGGTGGAGCCAAGAAGGTCTTATGTCAAATATTGCACACTTAGGCTAAAAAAGTATTTGCTTACCTAAAATTCAAACTTAACCAAGTTTTCAGTAGATTTACTTGCTAAATCTGACAACCCTACTTATGAGTACTGCTGTAACAAAACAGGTAGTATGTAATGTACTTGTGTACTTATATTATGTATATATGACTATAAACTGACCCTTCCTCTCTGCAGAGCAGAAAAAAGATGGGACTAAGTAAGTGGAATTCTTAGACTTAAGAGGGTATTTTTCCCCTAAGGTTTAGACCTTAGAAGTAGTTACCAACAGACTGTGAAATCTTACCTGGGATCTTTTCAAAATAGAGCAAATTTTCAATATAAAATCATTTAAAATGATGACTGAATGACTTTGGGTTTCTTTAAGCTGTGGGGCTGTGGACCTCATCTGGGGCAAGCAGTGACAATGTAGCATCAACATTGTTGTTCTGTCATCAGCCAATGAGTCACCTCAGCAGAGCTACTGCTGGGACTCGACACTTTGTATATCAAAAGTAGGTAGAAAATTATTTATTTGATACATATCACAGAAAAAATAAAATGTTGAACGCAAGACTTTGTGTCTGATAACGCAATTCTATCCTCACATCTATGGACGAAGTCCTGTGACGTCTTCCAATTTTGGTGTAAAATCAGTAATTTCATATTCTACATAAACTGATATATTAAATTTGCATTTCTGATGCTGTGAAGGACCTACTTAACCCCAGCCCAGCATGTTTAACAGCACTGTGGGTAAACTAGAGATTCCTAAGTTGAGACTCCTCGGAGATTAATGGACATCACATAGTCTTCTGTTTCTCTACATAAGTAACCTGTCAGACCTCTGATTTAAAGACATCCAAATATTTTAAATATTAAATGGGATATTTCTATGAATACTCATAGAATTCAATAATTTTATCAAATATTGCTAACTTCTGCTTTATACAATGTTCACTTGCCAGATTCAACATGGCACTTTTCACTAAGGACAAGATTTTGAGAACTGTTTATGAGAACAGATTACTGAATGACTGCATGGGCATCAGAGCAAATTCCAGCAACCTAAGTAATAGAATATGCAAATTTATGACCGGGCACTGTGGCTCACGACTGTAATCCCAGCACTTTGGGAGTCTGAGGCAGACGGATCACAAGGTCAGGAGTTTGAGACCAGCCTGACCAACATAGTGAAACTCCATCACTACTAAAAATATAAAAATTAGCCAGGTATGGTGACAGGCACCTGTAATCCCAGCTACTTGGGAGGCTGAGGCAGGAGAATTGCTTGAACCTGAGAGGCGAAGGTTGCAGTGAGCCGAGATCGTGCCATAGCACTCCAGCTTGGTTGACAGAGCAAGACTGCATCTCAAAAAATAAACAAATAAATAAGAATATAGAAATTTACAAGAATCCCAGAGGACCAAGTGTAATTGTGGCAGTTGAGGGAGAGAATGACAGAAAGTTCATCACGCCAAGATCAAGGTTAGCTGCACATTTCCATGACTTATTTCAATTCACCCAACTTCATGCAAACATACACATGCAAAAAATACTTCAGTTTATTTTCTTGGAAGTAATAAAGGTCTAACACTGTTAAAATAGATATTTTAGGACCTGAGACCTATGACTGTAAAAAACATCCCCAAATTACTGGTTTCTTTTGTCAGAATAGCTTACCAAATCCAAAAGCATTGGAACCTCCAATGGTCTGTGATGCCTGAACACTTGTAGATGTGTATAGTCCTGTCACCAGCAAGCCGTCAAAGAAGGTGCTTGTTGAAATTGTCACTGAAATATAAGAAAGAAAAAAACTCTCAATACAGTCAGAATAACACAATATATTTCTGAAGTGTTAGACACTGTCAAAACAATCTTTACTCATTATTAAAAATTATTTTTATACTATCCCCAGTTGGTATTTTTTAGAGGAGAAATTACAGAAGAACATAAAGAAGCTTGGAACTCCAGTGTCTACAATTGCTAGTCCTAAATTTAGAACATCAGTCCTACCTTTCTGCATTCATTTACATATTTCCCGGCTATGCAAACAATCATCTGAAAATAATGTAATATTGAATAGATGGTTTCCCCACCTTCACTGCCACCCCTGAAGGCAGTCGAAGGCATTGCTGGAGTTTTGGCATTATGAAAAAACACTTTTTAAAAAAAGTGTTCCATACTGTGGGAAACAACTGTACATGGGCTGAAAGAAGAACAGTAAGATGAACCACATTTCTTATTGTGAGTCCATGTTTCACAGGTGAGTTTCCTGAAGTTTTCCAACAAAAGCAGGCTAATTTGCATGAAGACAGCCACACTTTCTCCTCTTGCAAAAAAGAATGGAAGACCACTGCATGCTTTCAATTTTAGAACAAAGTCTGGAAGTAGAGGGGTTTATAACCACAAAATCAGGACATTGCTGGGAAGAAAAGGGTCAGATTAAATGTGTATGTATGCTACTCAGGCTGGCTTCTTCAAATTTTATCTTGCTCACCACCCTAAAACCTGATCATAATTTCCTGCTTGACATGATAACATTTTCTCCTGCATAGGTTGCTGTAAGATTGAGATGATGCCATTTGTAGGAAGCAGCCAGGGGAAGGTAATAACATTATTTAGGTAGTGCACAGTATAAGGCTATCATCATCTTTGGTGGCAATAAGGAGAATGACCAGAGTCACATTAACTTTGAAGAGAACGTTTAAATTAAACTCCAGAAAATCTGGTGAATAGAGCTGAATGGTCTGAAACATCCATATTATAAAGTATAAAACAAGACACATACCAATAGAATAGCCTAACATCGTGCTACTCCCATAACAGCATGGGGGATTGGAATAAATCACCTTCTCAACCTTTAATAAGAAATAATAGCTAATATTGTATAGCACTGGCATACAAACTACCCATCTGAGCACTGAGGTAAGTAGTTTACATATATTATCTCATTTAATTGTCAAAACATACCTATGAGAGAGGTACTATTATTATTTCCAGCTTACAAAAGAAGAATGTATGAAATAGAGCCATTAAGAACCTTGCCCAGGACCATATGATACCATCTAAAATGTTTTGATGCTATCTATGTGGGTTCTTTCCTGTTTTTTCTTTGCTTCCCCCAGATCCCAAAGTGGCAAAGTAACCATGGTCAAACTCTATTAAGGCAGGTATCTCAGGTATTTGGTTCACTGATATAGCTCAAGTGTCTAGAATATTTTATGGCACTTTTTAGTGCTCAATATTTGGTGAATTATTAATAGTTTATTCATATAAAGTAGCACAAGGTTGTCTTATCTTTAGCTTGTTTCCAGAGGAGAAGTATGTTACGAATCCTAGGCTTTGTACACCAGATGAGCCCCATTTGGAAAAGCCACGTGGAAAAAAAAGAAGACAGAGAAGAGTTGGCTATTTAAATAAGTAAAATGTTTTCCAGAGTGCAAGACAGATCAATGCAGAGAGAAACTTGACTAAAAGACCAGCCAAAGACATTTTTTTAAAAAGGCATAAGTATGCATAAATTTTATCAGATGCTGTATGCTTATACAAATCATCTAAAGAAAAACATACTTGTTTGAAATGAACTGATTATAATCTGCTTGCTAGCGTTAAGAATTTTTTAGGATAAAATGATATTTGCCTTTGGAAAAATGCTACTCTTTTGACAGCAGAATAAGCATTCCTTTTCCTCATTTAAACAGATGTGATGCATAATCCATATGTGAACTGGTAATCGGTCTCTTTTTTCTTTTCTTTTCTTTTTTTTTAAAAAAGAGGAAATGTTGCCGAGACTCTCATGGGATTTAAGACATATCTTTCTGGTCACTGAGCTTCCATTTATTCAAGATGGGTCCAATCTCTATAAGTAAAAACCACTGGACACAGTGTGTATTTGCTGTTAGCATGCAGACCATTTCAGAATGTCTGAGGCCACAGGTTTTCACTGACTGGAACCCTGGTGGTGAATGCATGAGCTGTATAAAAGAGCATACTGAAAACATTACACCAAGGCACTTTGACTTTGAAACTGTGTCAGGAACACCCTTCTCTCCACCCCGCTTCTTCCCTTTTCACTGAAATGCTTCCACTTATCTCAACTTGCAGCCCTGGGTTAATCTGCTGAAGTTTCCTGTGTCATCAGCCCCTGAAGTTTTCAGTTTTCACATGGGGCCTTTACCCCCACCTTGCCCTCTAGTGTCTTCCTGATTCCTTTCTATCAAGCTATGTGACTCCGCATGTGCACCAGCTCTAATCTTTCCTCTGTGCCCTGCCTTGACTTTCTTTCCTCTAATTTCACCGGACTCACTTTTCAAGCACTATTTTAGCTTCTCTAGTCTTAACTCATCACATACATCCACAACCTCGTGCCATCCAGGCAACTGGAATAGGTTCTTGAAAGTAGAAAAGTGATTTACGATAAGTTAAAGGGAAAATTTACCATGTACAGAAATAATATGGTGCATGATTTTAAAAACTGAGGTTCACGCTTGTGAATGTAAAATGATTTTAATATTTATATGAACTAGAAGGAAACTTACAACTTTCATGGCCACCAATTTGGCCCATTATGAAGCTGATTAAAGACAGAGATAACACTGCTGTCTACTATTTAAAACAAACTCTCCATGAATCACAGAATTATCCATGTGTGTAGATCTAGATATACTCATTTGAAGAATGTAAAATACACTAATTCTGACTACAGATATTTTTATAGTTTTCTGATCCTATGATTCAGAATGTTATGGTTCCAAGCTGCATAGTTTAAAATGTTCCACAGTGATTGTCAACTTGTTTCCTTTAAAAATATTTATTTATAAAATATACTTGCATAAGTAGAAGTTGTAGTTAAAAGATATAAATTTTGGTATATTAGGATGGGGATAATTGCACAAAATTTTATATTCAAACTACTTTAAGAAAAATAACTATTGGGCTACATGTATCTGATATCTAACTCAGACATGTAAATAAGAAAACCCTTCATGCCCTTTCCAGGATTATCAGTCAAATGCTCTAATTAATGTTAAAATGGGGAACAAATAATATTTTCCATGTCAATTCACTGTCAAATTAGTTTATAATAAACTGAACAATTGCCAAGTCTAGGTAAGTGGGTATACAGATGTTTGTTGTACTAGTCTTTTTTGTTTGTTTTTTCAGACAGAGTCTTGCTCTGTTGCCCAGGCTGGGGTGCAGTAGCACAATCTCAACTCATTGCAACCTCCACCTCCTGGGTTCAAGTCATTCTCGTGCCTCAGCCTCCCAGGTTATCTGTGACTACAGGGGTGCACCACCATGAGTGGCTAATTAATACACCTTTAGTAGAGACAGGGTTTCAACATGTTGACCAACCTGGTCTTGAACTCCGTGCCTCAAGTGACCCACCTGCTTCAGCCTCCCAAAGTGCTGGGATTACAGCCGTGAGCCACGGTGCCCACCTGTTATACTAGTCTTTTAACTTTCATTTTAGAAAAAAATTTTATTAAAAAGTTGGTGGGGAGAAGAAGAAATCTGTTGTAAATGCACTTGAAATGAGCAAAGTAAGCCAAATAGTAAAATGTACTAGAAGGTGCCTAATACATTCACACTTAAAGAAGTAAGATGTATAATTGATTGAGATAGACAACTAAATACCTTCTATGAGCCAAGACTTGTGTTAGTAGTATAATTTGGATTTTATTAACTGGAAAGGAAGAGATATTTAGAAATAGTTCTCCTTTGACAAAAATGTTTATAAACTCTAACACCCTGTCAATTCTAGGTATTTTATATAAATTAAAATAATCACCACTATGGGTTAAGACCCACAAGTTATCCATATTAGACACCAAAGGTTTATGTAAAATCATTGAATAATAATCCAATGAGCTTAAACAAGTAAACACCTATTTAAACAATCCATTCTCCCATATAATCAGTCTCTATTCATGGCTTTACAAAATATGGTCAAATTCGTAAAATTCTTTCCCAAGGGACCTTTTCCCTCTTGGAGTCAATTTTTATATCTTTCATAGTTTTGCATTTAAAATGTAAATAGAACTGGCTACTTTATCACAGAGGAAAATATCAATATTATAGATTTGAAATAGAATTCTGAACTTGCCAGTCCATTTTAAGGGGGACATAAAGCATATATATTATCTATAATCAGAAACAAATGCATCTTAGATCACATAATTCCCTTGTTCAATAAATATCTCTAGCTTCCTAACATTAGTCCATAGATTAAAACCCTAAATCATCAATGTGGTTTCAAAGACCTTTGAGTTGTGGCCATAACCAGTCTCTCCAGTCAAATTTTCTCATTTCAGCTGAAAACATCCTTTGATCCAGTTAAACCAGAACATGTTCTGTACTTCTCTGCTTTCTGGCCTCTGCTCTCACCTAGAATGACACCTTGCCAGGTTACCTCTTGTTAAGGTATTCGGGTGCAGGTTCAAATGCCATCTCTCTCATGCAGTTTGTTAGTCTGTTCTGACCTTCTGGAGAAAGTCACCTCTCCCTCCTCAGTGATCCCAGAGCTCAGAGAAACCACAAAAGATTTGTTGACATACTACTTTCCCCAGAATTTGGCTCAAAGGAAGAGCTCAATCAACTTTTGTTGAATTCAACCACACAGAAGCATTTATTACAACAAAAGATAACATATAAGAATAAAATAAGATAAAATTGAGAGTATAATGTAGCCAATGTAACCAAAATTGCAAAATCTAACTTTTACAGAAGAAACTGGACCACTGAGAAAAAGCTGGACCATCGTTATTCTTAGAGATGTATGAAAAATGACA